TGACCATTTCCACTTTACCCATTTGTTATTCATAAACTGACGGGTAAAGTGAAAAAAAATGTACGTCGCCCTTTGTTACATTGCCTATGTAACCGAGGTAACATCTGTTTTACGCCCGAAGTCAGATGTGCTTTTTGTAATACTGAAATCGGCTCTTCAAAAATCATGTGAAGGCATAATAAACCCTATCAACGTTTCATGTCACTTACACGCAACACTCAAGAGTTTCAAGTCTCAAGGATCATTATGAGGGTACCTACGAAAAGAGATTGGAAGCATGGGACGCATTAAAGTCATGAATTCCTAAGAAATTGTAACGTCTCCTCTTGACTTTCCATAGTAGCTGAAAGAACGGTCGACAATTAAGGCAGATATGACAAACCCTTGCACTTCCATGCAGAGACAAGAGCTTAGAGGAAATTGTTTCAGACGGACCATAATGGTCACTGTTCGGCCACTCATAAAGAGTTACAACTCGTCTAGAACATCCGCAGCACGAGAGAATTACCCTACGTGCTACGGAAAAATGCAGCCAATTCTATTATATATAAAAAAAAACACTCCAGTCTCAGGTACACAATTTCAAATTCAATTTTCATTCACTATTCTCCCTCATATACTGACTTGAGCGTTGAAATGCTAAACTTGCAGGTAATTCCCATTTCCACCATATCGGAATCTCAAATCCATCGTGATCCTCCATAATCATCTACTCGTCAATAAATTCTAGTTTCGTAATTAGACAACCCTAATTTTTTTTTAGAAAGTTACAATATATATCTTTTGTATGTATATCTCTAAACTTTTGTTTTTTAGTTGTTTAATTTTCTTGTCTGGTCTATCTGAATCTATAAGATATGTTGCTTATCTTCTTAGAATTCGTTTATTTATATATATATATATATATATATATATATATATATATATATATATATATATATATATATATATATATATATATATATATATATATATATATATATATATATATATATATATATATATATATATATATATATATATATATATATATATATATATATATATATATATATATATATATATATATATATATATATATATATATATATATATATATATATATATATATATATATATATACCTTTGTAAAACAACTACATTTTTTTAAAATTATTTTTTAAAATATTTCAAAATTTATAAATTGATAAAAAATTAATAATTTTATAAAATTAAAAAAAAAATTATTGACATTACTGAGTAAACAATTTCAATTTTTTTAAAAAAAGATCATGAATTCTATTATATATGTTAAATATGTAAATGACAAAACTACTCATACAAGAAAATATATTTAATTTAATAAAAAATAAAAGTAGTATTCATAATTTTAAAATTATACTAACTATTTAAATTTTTTATATTATATAAAGTTACAAAATTACCCTTATGACAAAATCATACATATTTTTTCAAAAATTATTTATTGATATTTTTAATTATATATCAAATTAATATTTATTTATATTTTATCATATTTAATTTTTTATTTTAAATTATATTTTATAAAACTAAATTTGTACTTTCTTATCATATCCTGCCCGATTCTAACTCAACTCATATTTAAGATAATATTTAAACTAGTGAGGCAGGATAGGATAAGTTTTAGAATTAACTTATCATATTATGTTGTGTCATTAAATAATAGATTGAGATAAAATATGATACAAATATCATATCATGTCTCTTATCCTACGCACCAAACGAACACTTAATTTATAGCAACTATATGACTAGTTATAGTGGTTTTAAAATATTTTGTTAATGCATTTTTTGCATATGTGCAGGTTGATTTATTAGTTTTTCGTCATGTATTATTTATGTATAGTCTTCCACTCCTTATCTTTTAGTTATCCAAATAATTGTGTTTTTGTTGTTGATTGTGGTCATGTCATTTTGTGCATATGTTACATTTGATATATTTAGAAGTTCATATTTTGTTATTCTATTCTCTTGCAGCTTTTGTGTATCTTCTTCAGTAGTTTTTTAGCTTATTTTTTCTTCTTGGAACTGTTATGGGTTTTTCTTGAGTTAGTTGTTTTTGTTTAAGGCTCCTCCCTCCTTATCTCTTTTTGATTTTGTTAAAGTAAGAGAATTTGTAATGAATCTATATTTGTTTTATGTATTTTATGTAATCGTAGTTAATCTCTTAGAAAAAGAATTTTTTTTACATGTATAAAATGTTTTCTTTGTATAAAAAAGACATTTCACCAATTATAATTAAGAAATCTCGCAAACATGATTCAAATCATGTAACTCTCTAACTTGAATTATGAAGTTTTTCTTTTTCTAGAATTTGACTTTGAAAAACATGATTCGAATTATGAAAAGTCTTTATTCAAATCATGAGCAGATTTGAGAATTTGAAATTTGACACTAAAAACATGATTTTAATCATCTCTTGTTTGGCTTGAATCATGTGGTATTTTGATTCAAAACATGGTTTGGTTCGATTCGAATCATAACCAAAATATCCGTTTTCCAAATTTAGAAAAACAAATTATAATTATTTTATTAATTTATATTATTTTATCAGATACACTATAAATTAAAAGAACAAAAAATAAAATAAATAAATGATATTAGATAAGATAAACTCTATCCCACTCAATTTCATTCCATTCATTTTGTTATAAAACCAAAGAATGAAGCAGGACTTTATTCCTCTTTCATTCCATTCATTTATTATAAAATCCAAAAATGAAACACGAATTCATTCCACTCTATTACATTTCACTAATTTATATCAATTCAAATAGACTCTAAAAAATTATGGAGTATCATTCCCTCTTATAAAGCTAATCGCATAGAATCTTGTATGGCACATCTTACATAATCTAGGTGTATCTTTTTATATCTAAGAAGATTAGATTAAATTTATCCACTGTTATATTTATGTTTCAACAATTATCTTATCTATTGTTTTGTTTGGAAATCATAAATAATTGAAGACATAGTGTGATAGGACTCATATGTGTTGGAGTGAGTTTTTCGTAGTTAGAGCGGATCAATCTATAAGAATAACATTTCAAATTCAAGTTAGTTAAGGAATGAGAGCGGATCAATCTATAAGAATAACATTTCAAATTCAAGTTAATTAATGAATGAGAAGAGTATGAGTGTGAATACTTGAATATTGACACATGAAGAACTTTATATTTGAAAAGGCAGTTATAACTACTAAGTCACCCGATATGAAACATACAAACCTTTGATTAAATTCAACGCCAAACAATCATCTAAAAATTAAGATTGAAGGCTAATTTCTTGAAAGATAGATCACTCGATATTTAAGAGTTTAATATTTGACTCTTAAAAGATAGATCACTCGATCAAATTTGATTTAATATTTTTTTATAATTGAATCTCCTTGTATTTTAACTTAAGCCCGACCTAAAACACCTATTTTTGTTTTATAAAATATCTAATACTTTTTTTTTCTTTTTTCTTTCAAGGAAGGATTGAGATTAAAAAGAAAAAAAGTGAGGCACACAATGCTATGTGACTATGATTTGGGTTGTACATCATAGCTTTGATTTGAAGAAAGGATAGAGAAAAAAAAAAGAAGATAAAGGACCACTCATTTCTTAATTAAATAATTAATGGAAGGAAAGTTTTCTTTCTTTCTTTCTTTTACGATAGCTGCCAAAGTAGGTGAGAGGGAATTGAAATAGACCACCACTATCTTGCCACATGGAACAATAGCTATATTGATAGATACACCTACATTCCCACTCAAAAACGTCACAACCCATACAATAATTCATCTTTACTCCCAAACCTATTCTCATTACAGAAAATATTGCTAGGTTGGTTAATTTCTATTCCAAGTTGAACAATATCTCCAAAGAGAACCTTCTCTTTTTTATTTTATTTTCTTTTTGTTAAAGTGAACCTTTTCTAGTATATACATCAAATAACCTGGAATTAGCTGGTTGCCTTCATTGTTTTTTTAGGTGAATGAATCTCTGAAAGCAATTGAGCAAAATGTATTTTTGATGTAAATTAAATTTACATTGACATTCAATATAAAATAAAATGTTCAAATAAAAAATATAAAATAAAAATGGTTTCAATATAAACTTAAAAAAAAATTAAAAAGGCTAACCTTCACTATTTTAATAAATAACTAATTATAAAAATAAATAAACAGAGGATATGTGATATTTTATTAAAAATCTACCTCATTTTACTTGGATTTGTATTTCAATTTTAAAACATATGTTAATTTGTAAATATCAAAAAATTATTTTGCGTAATTGTTATAATTATTGTAACTAAAAATTCAATTTTTAATTCATTTAACTCAACTAATATTTATCAGAAGAAAAAAAACTCAACTAACAAATACCATTGAGCTACGATATAAAACTAATTTAATTTCACTAATAATACCATTGAGGTACAATATAAAACTTATTTAATTTCACAAATAATATAAGGTTAACTATTTTAAATCATAAATGATTTAAAAAATCTGAATTATAAATTAACTATTTTATAATTTCAATTTATATTAATATGTTTTCATCATATCATTTATTATTACTTTTTTCTATTCCATGTCTCATTTTTCACATACAAAATTAATTATATTATTTTATCATAATAAAATGGTCAAAATATTGTATAATTTAAACCAAATGAAATATTGTACATACATTCATACAAAATAAATAAAAATGATTTTCTCGTACCATTACACGTGAAAATAAATGAAAATAAATTCATAAACTTAATTTATTAACCTTGCGGTTGAATTATATTATTGGCATATGTTATTACAAGTACAACATGTAACTCTTCTATACCTTCTCATCTCTCTTTTTTTTTTTTTTTTGTAAAAATACAAATACACAATTATACATATAGAACTATAGAAGATACTATTATACAGATACGTATAAGATACAATATAAGAAAATATAGAGAGAAATTAAATCAGATAATATAATTTACGCTCAAAGACTAACAGAGCAACGCTGATCAATCTGATACTTAACCACGTTTGCTCCAACATAAACGCCGTTAGCTCCCATGCTAACGCCGTTACCGTCGTTACGAACTGAGATATAAGCAGGACACCGAACATATAGATGATAATGACCAGAAATAAAAGTACCAACCTTCCAACGAACTCTTCCGTCAATTTTAACGGTAGCGAAGAAGTTTCCGTTAGATTGATCCTGCGAGAGAGTCTGAAAGTTAAACGGAGCAACGGGAACTTCGGTGCCGTAAACCGCCGGGGACCAAACGTCGACTTCTTTGTGACCTTGGTAGAAAGGTGGTATGGAGGTTCTGTAAGTGATCTGCTGGCTCCGGTAGGTGACGTAGGTGTCGAGACGGTCGTAGTAGACGCCGATGTGGTCGTTGGGATTTCTTGACATTAGTGTTATTTGGAAATTGGTTGTTAGGAGATTCGGCTGCGTTGTGTTGAAGGCGGAGACGGTTATGTCGGAGAGGATGAAGGTAGGTTTTGTGGGCCTTAGGATTGCCCATATGAGGAGAATTGTAAGTAAGACTAAGAAAAGGAACACTATGATTCCCCAAAATATTCTTTGGAAGAGTATTCTTTTTCTTCCTTTGTGGTGATCGCACTCCTTTACCGACATGATGTTGAGAGTGTGAGGACAAGTGTGAAAGATGAAAATGAAAAATGATTATGATAGTCTTGCGGAGAAAGGTGAGAGTGGAAGTGGTGTTGTAAGGTGAGGTGAGAGTGGAAAATATAGAATTGTTTTTGGGAGGGGTGGAATTATGAGGAGGTTTCGTGTGGATGACGTTTTTTGTGTTTGGTGTTGATTAGATTAGTGGTAAGTTTGATTGTTTTTATTTTAGAGGTTGGATGTATGATATGGTATGATAAGATTATGAAATATATGGTAAGAGGGAGTGTTTGGAAATTTGGATGTATGTAATGTGAATTTGAATGGTGGATATATGTCAAGTATACTTTTTGGAAACTAGTGACTTTGGGTGGTTGAGGTTAATATTGTCTAAGTCAATCCTATTATTATTAGAAAAATTTACATTAACTACATTCGTCTCTTTTTAATCTCAATTGAAATGACATCAACATTTTTTAAATTTTAAAGCTTTTTTCTAAGTTGCTTTTAAATTTATGACGTCGACGTGTGTAAATGAAAAATAAAATAAAATTTTATTTTTAAATTAATAAAACAATATTTTTTTTGTTTGAAATAAGTGTGTTAATTGACAATTTCATACAAATTGAAAAAATATGATAAATGAAAGAGAGATAATGATAGTTTTATCAAGTTGTATTTGGTTGTTATTTATGTATTGTTATTATTATTATTATTATTATTACAAGAGAAGAGATATAATAAATTAAGTGTACTAATTAGAATATAGTTCATTAATTTCAAAATAAAAATATTTTAAAATTGTTGCGGATAGATTAACAAAAATAATAAGTAAATAAATAAATGTAACAATTTTATCAAATTGTCATCATTGTTATTGGCTACACATTGTTTATTGTAAAATTTGGTAAACAAATACAAATTTATATTAATACTTAAGGAATCAAACTCGAAAATCTCCCAGACATATTTGTATGTGTGTTACTCGTGAAAATCCTAAGGCTTGTCGAAGTTAACATAAACTCGAACAAGTGTATGAAAATGTTTGTGATATCTTGAAAATAATGATGTAAGGTAAAAGAAAATTTAAAGTTAAAAGAGATACTTGAAAGTAAAGTGTAAGAAAACGTAAAGTTGTGTGAAAATTAGAGGAAGTCGAAAAAGCTTAAATGCGTAAAAGAAAGACTTAAGATAAAATTGTTGAAATGTATAAAAGGGTGGAACGCATACGTACATCATCCTTTCACTCGTTTCTCACAGCGCAAGTAGTTTGAGTGTTTCAAAAATGTGTACAATTTGCGGACCCCTTACAAAATGAACCTAAGTACCTATATATACAACACTAAGATAACTGCCTAAGCATGATAAACTACACTCGTGGTGACACGTTTTCAGATCGTGTAGATGTTCTCCCCAACGTGTCCCAAGTTCTCAAATGTAACCGTCGACGCTGATATAGTAGTTCCTACCTTGTGGTATCATTTGAACTTCTCAATTGTTTTATTAGCGCCAAGAACTGAATATCCCCGTCAAAGCCTTCGACGTCGACCACGTTAATGTAACATGTTTTGTCATATTTTCCATTATAGTGATGTACTCCACATGTGGTGACGAAGTTGTCATTACTTCTATTGTAATGATGAACTCCAACCTTAGCCAACATGACATAGTATTCAATTGTAATGATGGACTCCAACCTTAGCTAACATGGCATAATATTCAATTGTAATGATGGACTCCAACCTTAGCCAACATGGCATAGTATTCAATTGTAATGATGGACTTTAACCTTAGCCAACATGACATAGTATTCAATTTCACTAAGTGGCTAACATAAAATAGTACTCAATTTCACTAAGTCTCCATGCTTCTCACTGTGCCCTTCGACGATGTCACCTTTGACCAGTATCCCCTTACGTGATTCCCGACCTTGAGTTATTCTGATCAAGTTTGACCCATTGTATTTTATTTTCCACGTGGCACATTCATGACTGGTCTTATTGAATACTTTTCATTTATAGTTTACTCGAAAAATTCAGTGTAACAAATTGTCCCCCAAAAGGCCATGTTTCGATTTGTATCGAACAAGACAGACGTGGCCTTTCTTACTACAATTTTTGATGCCGTTTCACTTTGGCTGACGTCATTGTCGTCATTGCTCTTTTTGCGGCGCATTGTCACCTTCAAGAGATTCGCTCAGAATCTCATTATCTCTCATCATTCCTACATCATAGGAAGATGTGCGTTTTCACGTTTTGCAGTAACTGCTCCCACTCCTCATTAATGCTTGCATCGGGATCCCACGCAATATCTTTAATCACTCTCGCGTTGTTGCCAGGTGTCGGATTTGGGACATGCCCTGAAGACTATAAATAGTTCACCTCAGCTCTTTACTTCATTTTCTCTACTTCGTCTTCTTGCATTATTTCTCCTTCGTAAGAAAATTCCAAACCCTAGTTCGCCATCTCTGTTCAGGAAAAACTTCTTTTCGTCACCATGACTAAGAGCAAGGTATACTTCAAACCCTCTACTGGTAATAATCCGCTGGCTTTCGTCATTCCTCCTTCAGAAAGAGAAGAGGTGAAAGATTTCATTCATGAACCTTCCTTTGATAACAACAAAATCTCCGTCTGGCAGAAACAAATGTTGATTGCCTAGTCCATGAACAACCAGTTCTACGCCTTCTTTGGGTCGTATCCTACCAAGCTTTCGCAAGCGTTAAAGATTTCTCACCTTTTTCCAAGTTACCTACACATCATACTTGTTGTGTTTAAACGAAGGGCTCTTGATTTGTTCATTATGGTCAAGCCTAATAGTGTCTTTCAATCTACTCCATCGGCTCTTACAAAAGAATACTTGGCGTGGCTCGACAAGGTTCAAGCCAAGAAGAAAACACATTGGGAAAGCAGAGGCATCTAAGACATGGTAAATTTGTCTAGAACTGGCCCTAAGTATAAACCTTACATGCTGTTGGCCTCACTTTTCTTTTGGGAGGGTTCAACGAACACTTTCCAATTCCCTTGTGGCACGTTGACACCGACATTGTTAGACGTTGCTTCTGTAATGCCCCGATTTCGATCATTCCCGTTTTATTGAGTCCTTTTTGTTTTAATTGGATGAATGTTATTTTAATGTGGAACTTATGTGTTAATATGTTATGCTATTGTTGCCGACTTTGTGAGTTTCGGGTAAAAATAGGTTGGAGAGTATTTTGGGCATTAGTGATAATGTTAAGTTGGAATATTTTGTGAGAATTAAATTGGTAAGTGTGTGGAAAGAATTTGAGAGGAAAGAAAATAGAATATGAGTATATGAGAGAAAAGAGAAAGATAGTAAGTTAGAAGAGAAAGAAAAGAGGAGAAGAGAAAGAGAAGAGAAAGGAAGAGGAAAACCTAGAATCATCGAGAATCAACCTTAGCTTGCGATTAATCAGGTAAGGGTGAGAAGTTTTATCATCTTAATAATGTATATGATCATGTATGTGCTAGATTGGATTTGTTGGATTGTTTTCTACGTTTTCCATTCCTAGGTCGAAGTTGGTTTAATCGGTAGAAACTGAGTTTTATCGGTTAGAATCTAGAATAGATGGTGTGGTTTAGTCGGGTGATGAGTGGGTTATACTACTGGAATTGGATTGGATTTAATCGGTCGATTTTTGAGGTTTTGGTGATTTTTGAACAGTTGAGATTTTCTGGCTTCGCAGGTTCGCCAGCATTCGCCAGGCGAAGCCCAGCAAGTGGGCAGCGAACCTATGGCAGTGGCCAAGATCAGCCTTCGCTGGCTTGTTCGCCATGCGAAGGTGGTGGAAAAGGTTCGCCAGGAGAATCCCAGCGAACGTGGTAGCGAACCTATGGCGGTAACTTCTGTTTGGCTTCGCCAGCGAGTTCGCCAGGCGAATGGCAGCGAGCCTTCGCTGGAAGGCTTCGCCAGGCGAAGGTTAGCGAGCGTAGCAGCATAATTTCTTTCTTGTGTTTTCCATCCATGGGTTGGTTGTGTGGTTTGATTGCGATCACTCCTTATCTGAGATGATTAATTATATGATGTTATGTATATTGTGGGTAGCCGTATGGCGTGAATCCTAGATTGTGAAATGTGAAGTGTGAAATGTGGCCGTTTGGCAAATTTTGTGCATTTGTTCGAATCGAATAGAAATGCATGATGAGAATGATTGTAAATGTGAACCATGTTTGAATAGTGTGAATGAAATGATGAACATATGTATATATTGCGATATGTATATATTATGAGTGCATAATGAATATATGCGATGAATGTGGCGAATGCATGCGTATGTTTGTAAACATGTGTGCATTTCAAGAGTGTCATGAGTCATGTTGCATGTGAAGCATCATGGTATGCATTCTTGTTTTGATTGATTCCTCGGTGAATCTGCAGAACCTCGTGTGCCCATGTGGGGTGTGAGCGATGGTTATTTATTGATCCCTCGGTGGATTTTCAGAACCTCGTATGTTGCGATGGTTATATTTGATTCCGCGTAGAATCTGCAGAACCTCGTGTGCCCATGTGGGGTTTGAGCGATGGTTATTTTTGGTTCTTCAATTGAACCTGCTGAAATTAGTCGGTACCGCATTTGCATCTGCATAGAGTCGTGTGTCGGTCTCTATGAGTTGCATGTTGTCATCTTTGTATGATGTATGGTGAAATAAACATGAATGTAGATGTTTATGTGAATTAGTGATGGAATAAACATGTTGTGTATGTTTATTGAGTTAATGTGAATTGTGATGTTTGGTATGAATGAAGATGCTTGAGGATACATATATGTATGTGCGAATATATATATATATATATATATATATATATATATATATATATATATATATATATATATATATATATATATATATATATATATATATATATATATATATATATATATATATATATATATATATATATATATATATATATATATATATATATATATATATATATATATATATATATATATATATATATATCTGTGTGTTTATGAATTGATATAA